AAATCGCTTGAACCCAGGAGCTGGAGGCTGCAGTGAGCCAAGATCCCACCACTGCGCTCCAGCCTGGGGGGCAGAGCAAGACTCTGTCTCAAAAAAAATAAATAAAAATATATATATATATATATAGAGAGAGAGAGAGAGAGAGAGAGAGTCAGGATGCAAAACCCACAAAGAGGAAGGACTGACTTTTCATGAGCGAGTTCCAAAGGACCCTATGGGACTTGAGTATGCACGGATTGGATTTGAGCATATACGGATGGTCCTGGAACCAATACCGTGCATATACCAAGAGGGGTCTATATCTATATCTACTTATAGATATAGGTATAGACACACACAGTGTGCGCGTAGCTACCTACATATGACAGTGTGTGAATGTGTGTGTGTGTGTGTGTGCTGCCATCTAAAGACAGGAATCTATCCCAGACCAAGAAAGACAGACCAAGACAGAGTACTAATTAAGGCCTTCCACACTGCTGCAAAAAAGAGATCCAAGTATCCAATGGTATCCATTATTGTCTCTGGCCAACTGACAGCATTTATATAAATATGTAACTACATCATGTAATCAATCTCTAGACTGTGAGCTTCTTGAGGAAGGAAAGAAGACCAACCCCAAATTAGGAGTTCAAGGAATTGTCATTGAAGTAATGAACAAATAAAGAATTAAGTAATCAGGCTGGGCACGGTGGCTCACACCTGTAATCCCAGCACTTTGGGAGGCCAAGGTGGGTGAATCACCTGAGGTCAGGAGTTCAAGACCAGCCTGGCCAACATGATGAAACTCCCATGTGTACAAAAAATACAAAAATTAGCTGGGTATGGGGGTGCATGCCTGTAATCCCAGCTACTCAGGAGGCTGAAGCGGGAGAATCACTTGAATCCAGGAGGCGGAGGTTGCAGTGAGCCGAGATCACGCCACTGCACTCCACCCTGGGTGACAGAACAAGACTCCATCTCAAAAATAGATAAATAAATAGTGATATAGGAGTTAAAAAGAAATTACTTAGGCAGATAGTGAGGGTAAGGAAGTCCTCAGTGAGGTTTTCCTTTTAACGAAGAGCAGCTCCAAAATCATTTTCTTTTCTTTTTTTCTTTTTTTTTTTTTTTTAAGACGGAGTCTCGCTCTGTCTCCCAGGTTGGAGTGCAGTGGCACTCACTCTCAGCTCACTTCAAGTTCCACCTCCCAGGTTCATGCCATTCTCCTGCCTCAGCCTCCCAAGTAGCTGGGACTACAGGTGCCCGCCACCACGCCCAGCTAATTCTTTGTATTTTTAGTAGAGACGGGGTTTTACCATGTTAGCCAGGATGGTCTCGATCTCCTGACCTCGTGATTCACCTGCCTCGGCCTCCCAAAGTGAATCATTTTATTTTCCAACAAAGAGCAGCCTGTAAAATCGAGCTGCAGACATAGACAAGCAAGCTGGAAGCTTATGGGTCAATGCCAGCAGCTGTGCCAATACGAAAAAGCTACCTGAGACTAGACATGATTAAAATGGCAGCTCCATCTTCCCTTCTCTTTGTCAGTCATGTGTACAGTAAGGAGCAGACAAGATGGTAGGGCAACCGGCCTTCCCCGAGCAGTATGTAAATGTCACACCTGGCCCAACCAATCTGTGGGCCCTACGTAATTCAGACACCGCCTCCTCAGCCTGACTATAAAATCTAGCGCCTCACTGTAAAATCTAGTCGGTGAGCGGGATTTTCCTTTCGGGCATCCCTCTTTCTCGCAAGGGAGGGAGCTGTTCTACTTTCTTTTTTTTTTTTTTGAGATAGAATCTCGCTCTGTCGCCCAGTCTAGAGTGCAGTGACGCCATCTTGGCTCACTACAACCTCTGCCTCCTCCGCCTCCCAGATTCAAACCACTCTCCTGCCTCAGCATCCCAAGTAGCTGGGATTAGAGGCATGTGCCACCACCTCTCGCTAATTTTGTATTTTCAGTAGAGACGGGGTTTCACCATGTTGGTCAGGTTGGTCTTGAACTCCTGACCTCAGGTGATCCACCCCCACCTCAGCCTCCCAAAATTCTGGAATTTCAGGCATGAGCCACCGCTCCTGGTCCTCTTTTCTCTTTCTTTTGCCTATTAAACCTCCACTCCTAAACTTACTCCTCATGAGTGTCCATGTCCTTAATCTTGGCGCAAGATGACAAACTCCAGGTATTTGCCCCAAACAATGACACTGCTTCAGTAGTGGCAACCACTCCCTTGTTGTGACAGTGACAACCAAAAATGTCTCCAGCCATCGCCACATGTGCCCTGTGGAGGGAGTAGAAGAATCGCCCCCCAGGCCAGGCGCGGTGGCTCACACTTGTAATCCCAGCACTTCAGGAGGCTGAGGCGGGAGGATCACAAGGTCAGGAGATCCAGACCATCCTGGCTAACATGGTGAAACCCCGTCTCTACTAAAAATACAAAAAAAATTAGCCGGGCCTGGTGGCGGGTGCCTGTAGTCCCAGCTACTCGGGAGGCTGAGGCAGGAGAATGGCGTGAACCCGGGAGGCAGAGCTTGCAGTGAGCCAAGATCGCACCACGGCACTCCAGTCTGGGCGACAGAGGGAGACTCCATCTCAAAAAAAAGAATCACCCCCCAATCGAGAATGACTGGTCTATTTCTAACAAACTTATCACTACCTTGTTGGCAAAAAATGTTAATAATAACTAACCCAACTGGGCACGGTGGCTCACTCCTATAATCCCATCACTTTGGAAGGCCAAGGCAGGAGAATTGTTTGAGCCCAGGAGCTCCAGACCAGCCTGGGCAACATAGCCAGACCCTGTCTATACAAAAAAAAAAAAAAAATTTAAAAAATTAGTCAAGCATGGCGGCCTGCACTTGTAGTCCCAGCTACTCAAGAGGCTGAGGCGTGAAAATCGCTTGAACCCAGGAGCTGGAGGCTGCAGTGAGCCAAGATCCCACCACTGCGCTCCAGCCTGGGGGGCAGAGCAAGACTCTGTCTCAAAAATAATAATAATGACTCACCTTTACATAGCTTTTGCCAAGTACAGACACTGTCCTAAAAGCATAGCATCTGTTAACTCATTTAATTCTCCAGAAAACCCTAGGATTTCCTTTTCCTGTCCTGGGGCACAGAGAGATTGAGTGACTTGCCCCAGGTCACACAGCTGGGACATGGTGAAGTGCCAGGATTTGAACGTGGTTCCTCCAGCTCCAGAGCCTGCTTTCTCATCCTTTCTACTGCTCTTTTGGATATGGGATTTACCAGATTACATTTTTTAAAAATGAAAATTCTTTATGTCTTCAAAGCTGCAAAAGATTGTGGACACATTTGAGTCACTTCTCACCAATCAGACTTTATGGAGAACAGAAGGGAGGCAAGAAATCTCATCCACAGCTACCACTATTCTCCGGGATGTGGAATCGAAAGTTCTAGAAACTGCCTTGAAAGCTCCAGAACAAAAAGTCCAGAAAATACAAAACAGTAGTGTGGGTAAGACAATAATGAGGCCTGATACACACTGGGGACTGGTTAGCAGCTGGGATCTGGGTTAGGCAATTAGAAAAAAAACAATTGAATAGACCACATGAGTCTATTTATGTAAATTACATAAATGCATATAAATTCTAGAAAACGCAAACTTATCTAGAGTGACAGCAAGGGGCAGGAAGGAGGGGTGGCAGGGGCATGAGAAAATCTGGGGAAACTATTAGGGGTGGTGGAAATCGTCCTGCCTTGATTGTGGTGTTGGTTTCAGAGGTGTATGAAACAAAACTCACCAGATTGTACACTTTAATATGTGCAGCTGGTTAGACATCAATTATTCCTAATAAAGTTGTTTATTCAGAAGATTGCCAATAGTTTCCAATCCCAGGTCTGGAATTTTCACTTCAATGTAGTTTGAGGACCAGGCATGATGGCTCACGCCTGTATTCCCAGCACTTTGGGAGGCTAAGGTGGGAGAATTACTTGAACCCAGGAGCTCAAGACCAGCCTGGGCAGCATAGTGAGACCCCATCCTTTTAAAAAAATTTAAAAATTTGCCAGGTGCAGTGGCTTGTACGTGCACTCTCAGCTACTCGGGAGGCTGAGGGAGAGGATGGCTTGAACCTAGGAGTTTCAGGCTGCAGTGAACTATGATCATGCCATTGCTACTCCAACCTGGATGACAGAACAAGAACCTGTCTCATTTAAAAAAAAAAAAAAAGTTTTGGGCTGGGCAGGGTGGCTCACACCTATAATCCCAGCATTTTGAGAGGCCAAGGTGGGTGGATCACTTGAGGCCAGTAGTTTGAGATCAGCCTGGGCAACATGGTGAAACCTTATCTTTACTAAAAATACAAAAATCAGCCAGGCATGGTGGCTTGCAACTGTTATCCCAGCTACTCTGGAGGCTGAGGTGGGAGAATCACTTGAACCCGGGAGGCAGAGGTTGCACTGAGCCTAGATCACACCACTGCACTCCAGCCTGGGTGACAGAGCAAGACTCTAACTAAAAAAAAAAAAAAGCAGATTTTGAAAAAGTGCCTATTCTTCTTGGAAAACTGGAATCTGGATACTTTGGTTCAAAATTAAACCATTTTCCAGAATACAAATAAATCTCATCTCTCCTGATTTTGCCACGTCCTAATTGTTTGATCTGAGACCAGTGCCCTCATTTCATTGGGCTTCATTCTCCTGTCAATAAAATGGGGATAATATTACCTGGACATGGTGGTGCGCAAATGTGGTCCCAGTTACTTGGGAGGCTGAGGTGGGAGGATCGCTTGAGCTCAGGAGTTTGAGGCCGCAGTGAGCTGAGATTGCACCACTGCACTCCAGCCTGGACAACAGAGTGAGAGCCTGTCTCGAAAAAAAAATTTAATAGAGATAATAAAAGTGCATGTAATGCACTTAGGACTAGGATACCTCAGAAGCTAAACGACTCAAACTTTTAAAAAAGAAAAAAAGCTACAGTAGTAATTGCTATAATTATGATTATTCTATCTTTCCACTCTTTAGTATTATGAAATATTACTAAAAAATAGTGTCATTCTTTTTTATGTGGAACACATAGTTTAATTTGGAAAATATTAAATAATATAAAAATAAATCAAATTAAGGTTTTACAAAAATAGCACAGAGTAACAAGCGATAATATAATGGATGATGAAATTAACATTGTGGGCAGGGTGAGGTGGCTCACGCCTGTAATCCTAGCACTTTTGGAGGCCGAGGTGGGCAGATCACCTGAGGTCAGGAGTTCAAGATCAGCCTGGCCAACATGGCAAAAACCTGTCTCTACTAAAAATACAAAAATTAACCAGGTGTGGTGGTGCACACTTGTAATCTCAACTACTCGGGAGGCTGAGTCAGGAGAATCATTTGAACTCGGAGGCAGAGGTTGCAGTGAGCCAAGATTGCACCACTACACTCCAGACTGAGTGACAGAGCGAGACTCCATCTCAGAAAATAAAAATAATGATAATAATAATAAAAAATTCGGCCAGGCACAGTGCCTCATGCCTGTAATCTTAGCACTTTGGAAGGCTGAGGCAGATGGATGATCTGAGGTCAGGGGTTCGAGACCAGCCTGGCCAACATAATGAAACCCTGTTTCTACTAAAAAAAACACAAAAAAATTAGCCACTCATGGTGGTGCATGCCTGTAATCCCAGTTACTCATGAGGCTGAGGCAGAAGAATTGCTTGAACCCGGAGGACAGAGGTTGCAGTTAGCTGAGAGCGCACCACTGCACTCCAGCCTGGGCAAAACAGCAAGACTCCATCTCAATAATAATGATAATAACAATAAATTCACTTATACTGAGCTCAAGAATTTCTATTCATTAAAACACACTAAATGAATGAAACAGTAGGCCAAAAACATTAATACATAATTAAATACTTGTAAACTGTTCAAAAACTGAGAGTCAATATTAGACAAGCCAGTAATAGTTTCTAGAATGTTAAAATAGTGTCATTCTTTTTTGTATGTTTGTTTGTTTGTTTGTTCTGAGATGGAGTCTTGCTCTATTGCCCAGGCTAGAGTACAGTGGCATGATCTAGGTCACTGCAACCTCCGCCTCCCAAGTTCAAGCAATTCTCCTGCCTCAACCTCCC